GCCCTGCTTTAAGGCTGGTCAGTTCTGCAATCAAGAAAAGAAGGCTTTGAGGCGACTGCCTCAGATCTTGGAGGTTGGTGAGACTCAGAGGCAGTGCAGGAACCAGCCACTAAGGAGGCAAATTCAGATTGCTCTAACCAAATTCAGATCACTGTCCCCTTAATTTGTTCAGTGGTACAGGCTCCTTTATTTCCTTGCAGGGATACTTAGAATGTTGAGGTAGGTGTGAGTTAGACTATGACCCCACAGTACAAGAAAGACCTTAGTGCTGGGACCAGGGAACAGAAACTTGACAGAAGCAGGCTTGGCTTGGTTGTTGTTTGTTTGGGTTCAGGGACCTGTGCCCATCTTCCAAGCACTGAGACTCTATTTTGTTTTATGCACTTGTAGGACTTCTTGCAGTCAGTCAGCTGTTAGTCTTAACACCACTTGAACACAGAAAAGAGGGGAGAACTGCACCACATCCGTGAAGGTGGGTATGGGAGAGGGTTCACTTTTGGGCGGGGTAGTCTCGAGCACCCCAGAGTGACTACTGTGAGATTTAGGGATCCCCTCTCTCTCCATTTCTAGTGTGTGCACTTTCTCCTCAACTCTGTGCCTGTTTCCCAGCAGGCAAAAGGAACATAGAGATTTCTCGTAGCTGAGCTCTTCCACTCAGCATCACACACCAGTGTCTCTGTGTAAGTTTCTACAGGAGGCAATGAAATTGGGTAGGACTGATTTCCCTATTCTTCTCTCTCCTAGATCACCCACCGTGACTGCTTGGTGGTGCTGAGGTTGCCGTTGACCAGTGCAATCAACTGATCTGCCTACACCTTGGACCTGTCCATCGTCCTCCTGCTTGATTTCAGCTCTTCTGCACTGTATCTGTGTTATTCACTGAGACTGCTTGGGTAGGAGTCTCATTGGTACTGGATTGGTTGGTCACTTACCCCTTGTTCCTCACTATATCTCTTGAGTAATCAAAAGATCAGAGTAGGAAGATACAATACTGTGACAGATCTGCTGTTGAGACTGAGGCTCTGGTAGGCATTCTTAATTGAGCCTTCTAACTTGTACCATGACTGGGGCAGAAGTTGAGACTGGTTCTCAGGCCAAGCCTGATAAGAAGCCTCAGGAAGAGGTTGTAGGTGGGGCTGAGAGGGAAAGTGAAGTCCCTCTTGTGGTCAGACCCAAAGTCAGGCCTCAGGCTCCAGCAACAAGTGGTGCGAGGCCCAAAACTGAAAGTAAATCTTCCTCTCGGGCAAGGTCTAAAACTGGGGCTCACAGAATGCCTGGAGCAAGGCTGAGATCTGATGCCCACGTAATGTCTGGTGCCAGGCCTAAAAGTGATGTCAGGGGTGGTGCTCGCCCTAAGACTGAGGCCAAGCCAATCCCAGGAGCAAGGCCTAAGGATGATGCCCAGGCTTGGGCCCAGCGTGAGTTTGGAGCTGAGGCAATTTCACATGCTGAGAGAGCACCCTTACCTAATTCTGTTACATGGCCACTGGTCAATGCTGAGTCTACAACTGTTACTAAATCTAAGAGTCTGTCTATGAATAGACAACTGGCCAATATGGGTAGTGAAACCTTTCCTGGCAGCCAGGGTCAGACTGGAATCGAGCCCTGGTTTGGACCAAGAGAGGGGGGTAATATGGGTCCTTGGTGCTATCCCAGGCCCAGACCCAGAGAGGAGACCTCTAATGAGTCTGGTTTTTGGTCAGCAGATGAAACCTCTACAATGTCTTCTTTCTGGACTGGAGAGACTAGTATCAGATCATGGCCCAGGGAGGAGGTGAACACTAGGTCCAGGCACAGGGCTAAACATCAGGGTAACTCCAGGTCCAAGCCCAGATCTAAACACGATTCCTATATTGATTCTTTGTCTGGGTCTGAGGAGGAGGCGGATAACCCATTCTGCTTTTGGGCTGGAGAAAATACTAATGACATGTTTAGGCCCAGAGGCAGGGATGAGGCAAATGTCAGAGCCAAGATCAGGACAAAGAGAGAGGACTATTTTGAAGATGAAGATGAGTTCTACAAAGAGTCCTGGCTTTTGCCTGGGGAAGAGGCTAATAGATTTAGGCGCCGAGACAAGGAGGAGCCTAATAAGACCTTGAAAAGCAGGAACCAAGAGGAGGTTAAAAATGATGAAAAAGTCAAACAAGAGTCCAGGTTGGAGGAGGAAGTCATTATTGGGTCCTGGTTCTGGGCAGAACAGGAGACTAGTTTAGAGGCTGGAGCTTCAGCAATCTGTGAATCTGAACCAGGGGCTGAAGAGGGAGCCATTGGTGGATCCCTGTTCTGGACCGAAGAAAAGCCTAGTTTGGGGGCTGTGGCCAGAGATGAGGTCAGGCCTGAGTCTGAAGAAGAGGCCATATTTGGGTCCTGGTTTTGGGATAGGGATGAGGCCTGCTTTGACCCAAATCCTACTCCTGTGTACACAGCTAAGAGCAGGTACAGAGATCCAGAAGAGGATCTTAATTTAGCGTCCAGGCCCAAAACCTGGGATGAGGTTACCATTGAATTCAAACCTCCTTGCCATGGGCTTGGCTTCCCTTCCCCAAGACCCTTTATAATTCCTGAAGGGGCTTCTGGAAATACTGAGGAAAAAGCCAAGAATGCAGAACTTGGCGCAGAGGGGGAAGAGCAGGAATCTGTGGTTCAGCATGATCTTCCTGAACCTGAGTTCCCATTTCAGTATGATCCCTCTTACCGGTCAGTCCGGGAAATTCGGGAGCATCTTAAGGCCAGGGAAAGTGCACAGCCTGAGAATTGGTCTTGCAACTGCATCCAGTGTGAGCTTAGAATTGGTTCTGCGGAGTTTGAGGAACTTCTTTTACTGATGGACAGAATTCGTGATCCATTTATCCATGAGATATCTAAAATTGCAATGGGCATGAGAGGTGCTTCTCAGTTTACCCGAGATTTCATTCGAGATTCGGGTGTTGTCTCACTTATTGAAGCCTTGATGAATTATCCTTCCTCCCGCGTGAGGACTAATTTTTTGGAAAACATGATTCACATGGCTCCACCTTATCCAAATCTAAACATGATTGAGACATTTATTTGTCAAGTGTGTGAGGAAACACTTTCACATAGCGTGAATTCCCCTGAGCAGCTAACTGGAATGAGGATGCTTAGACACCTCACTATAACTACTGACTATCACACACTGATTGCCAATTACATATCCGGGTTTCTCGCCTTGTTAACCACAGGCGATGCAAGAACCAAGTTTCATGTTCTGAAAATGCTATTGAACTTGTCTGACAATCCTATGGTGGCAAAAAAACTATTCAGTGCCAAAGCTCTGTCCATCTTTGTGGGTCTCTTTAACATAGAGGAGACAAATGATAACATTCAGATTGTGATTAAAATGTTTCAGAATATCAGTAATATTGTAAAAAGTGGAGCGATGTCTTTAATTGATGATGATTTCAGCCTTGAGCCACTTGTTTCTGCATTCCATGAATTTGAAGAGCTAGCTAAACAGCTGCAGATCCAAATAGACAATCAAAATGATCCCGAGGAGGGACAGTAAAGTTAGTGTGATTTAACCACCTGCCACTCATCAGCCTTATGTTCCCAAAGAGCCCCAAATAGTGCTTTGGTGTTCACAGTCTGTTTCTGTGTTGTAACTTATATTTTTAATGCTAATGTTAACTTGTCAAACTCTTGTTGTGAGCTGGATCATTTGTGGATGCCAAAAATGAATATCAGAACTGAAAACACATTTGTTGACAATTGTCTTACCGTCCAGATTGTGATATTTTTTAGTGTTGAGCTCCCAGTGAACCAAGTCATACGAGTAAGCTATCCTGCTATTTGTCATTTAAACATGTGGTTCTCTGCTTGACTCTGTGTTTTCAATAAAGTTCGATGTTAAAATTGGCATAAATGACCCTTCTTCACTTTAAAACTCAGGTGCAGGTACGTTATGCACATTCAAAAATAGACAGTATTAGAACAAACACATGCTTATTAGAAAATCCTATTTTAGGAAAGGGAGATTATTGTGGTCTTTGGTACTCAGAAAATGTCTCAAAGAAGTTGGACCTAGATAAAATAGTCACTGAGCCGTAAGCATCCCTGGAAATGAACCATGGGGATGTGAAGAAGGGTATGTGATAGGAAAATATGTTCTGGTAGCATGAATGACGTGGGCAAAGTGAATGAGAGGACCTTAGAAAGTGATAGAGCTGCAAAATTGGGACAAGGTGAGTTTGGAGTGACTGGGTAACCCGAACTGCAGTTAGCCATTCAGGTGTAGATTTTGCTTCAATATAACCTAAAGGGTGAATGGAAAAGACTCCGAGTCTGTAGTTCTCAGCCTGTGTGTCACAACCCCATTGACAAACCTCTATATCCAAAAAATATTTACATTGAAATTCATAATAGTAGCAAAATAACCTTTATGGAGTAGCAAAAAAATTAATTTTGTGGTTGGGGGGTCACTATAACGAGGAATTATATTAAAGGGATGAAACATTAAGAAGGGTAAGAGCCACTGCACCTAATTAAACGGGCTCAGAAATAATATTTCTTGTATGATGATAATCTAAAGAAAGTATTAAGAAAACATCATACAAGCATGTATAACTATGTGTGGATTGATTGACATGAAACAACAATAGTATACATATGTATATACATATATACACATACATACACATATGAATGATATCATATTTGAAAAATTAGGTCTTAACTTTAAAATTTGTGTATAAATAAAACGTGTGCAACTCATGGTGGCTGAAGCAGCTCCATACAGTCCTTATCTGGATTAAAATATACAGCGTTAAACTCTTAGAGACAGATGTTGAATAAACACAAAATTTAGCAAAATATACAAAAGGTAATGTGTTTCCATCCAGTGACTCTAGTTGTAGGTGGGCATGTAGGGCTATGTTTGTATAAATGATTAACCTAAAGTGTTAAAATGTTTAGAGGTAAAGTGATTTAGAAAAGTTATAAATAAATGAGACTTCAGAATCAGGATTGCTAACTTTGTATTAGGCTGTTGATGGTACAAAAATAAAATTTCTCATGTAATTATTACATTCAAACAATCATAACATTTCCTTTTTAGGTGGCAACAAAGTTCTGCAGCTAGACAGTGGTGATGGTTGCAACAAGCTTGAGAATTTACTTATGTCACTGAATTGTACAGTTTAAATTGATTACAATGGTAAGTTTTATGTTCTGTGTATTTTGCCACAACAAAAGCCACAGACTACAGCAGACCTTCATACGGGAGTATTTCACAAGTCGGGAATGAAGTTGGTTTGGAGATAGATTACAAGTTGTGGGAAATACACACTTTTTCATTATTTTTAGACAGGAGAAATCTTATTTCCTTGATCTGAAAATGTTATATATCTCCAAACAGATAAAATAATGATTCATATTAAATATGAGCATGGTGAAAGAATTTTGCCAACACAATACACACGTGGTAAGATTGAGAAGCAGTCAAAAGGGATATGTGTGTATACCATACATACAGGATAAAGATATAAATAAAATATACCAAACTTCATACATATAGTGAATTAAATGATAGAATAATATTACAGAATTATATAAAAACTAATTACCATTTTATGTGCAACAGTCTCAAACATTTAATGTTATCCATACTATTGGACAAATTTTCAGTATCTAGTGAGTGAAATATCTACAAGTTGGTATCAGCCTAAGCAAGCATGGAACGTGCTCAATCAACAGAGCGTGGAATCTCACGGTAGACTGAAGTAGGGTTTAGTAGCCTGTGCTGATTTCCCCAAACACTGTAGAACATACCAGGCAGCACAACACTTCCCACCTTATTTTAGTATAGAATTGTAGAAATAGGGCAAACTTCATAGAACGAATTGGGTAGTGTTCCTTCTGTCTCT